TTTTTTTTTTTTTTTTTTTTTGCGATGCCAAAAATTCAGTGACCAGTTTGTCGAGGGAAGCCTCGGAAAAAAAGTCGTTTACTGAATGTTAAAAGTAATACACTAACAAGTAATGAGAAGCTTAAAAAGGAATTGAAAGACGGATAAATATTAAGCCAAAAATGGAAGTGTCTTTTAACTCGCTGACAGATTCTTTGAATTCGTGCATTTTTTCAGCCTGCGTGCAATGCTTACTTTAAAACGGAATAAAAATAGCCGTGACATGAAAAGTATCGTGACCTCGGTCGAGGAACTTTCGTTTAATTCAGCCAATAGCCAAAAGAATAAATTTTCATAAATAAGTAGCCGTCACGCATTTGGAAAAAAAACACTACTCGCGTAACATGTGAAAATATTCTTGACTGTAAAAGAACAAGTTCTTAGGTCGAGAAAATATAGTTGAGTTCTTTGTCTAGCCCCCTTCCAAACTGAACAAAATTAAAAATGTATTAGGTTTAATAATTGTAAAAATACTGTATGCGTGTTCTTGCCACTATGAGTGACTGTTACCTTGACCTTGTTTAGGAAAACTCAGCCATGTGAGTCGCACGAAAGAAGAGATTTAATTGACACGTACGAGGTATTGTTTTTAAAAATAGAGTGTGAGATAATACAACGCAAGTTTTGAATTAAAATGATTGCATTCAGCCATTAAATATATAGTTGGCAAACTACGCGTCTGGAGTAAGATGTGTGCACGAAATGAATATCAATGTTTCAATTGTTTCCAGGTGAATTTTTATAAATTCAACAAAGTTGAGAACGGACTGTTCAGTTTATTTGGTGGCGAATTTGTTTATATATCGAGTTCTAGTGTTATTTATATACGGGAAATAACCAAATCCCAGTGTTTTTCTGACGTGCTCAGGGATGGCTGGTTACACAAAGCCTTTCCTGAAGCTAAGTGTCCGTGTTTCAAGTCGCGTGATGTGTGGTTATCGTTTCAAAGTCATGTGTTGTGTGGTTGATATTGCGAAAATAAGGATGATCACAGAGCTGAGAGAGTTGTTTGTGAGATCTGTTTGGTAGAGGCTGGCTTAAGTGGATGTTTTCGCACATGATCAGCTGGTTATCTCGAACAGCTTTCCCAACAACGAGTATTATTCTCTTAATAAAATTCAAATTTTCAACAACGAAAACAGCACTCAACCTTGTTTATGCCGTTTTCTCTTGGACTCTTCACGTTAGTGGGAGTTTCCGCCTTAACGCCCCTGGGGTTGCTCCCTACTCGACCATACTTCCATTTTTGGTTAACGTTTCTTCTGGTAATGCTTCATGTTCTCCCGGAGTGTTGTTCATTAACTTCATTCCAAGGGTTTAGAGAAGCCTGATGCAGTGTTCTTAACTAAGTGCGTGAAAGAGGTACCTTTTCTCAATAAAAGGTATTCAAAAGGGGTAACTTTTCTGTCAAAATGGTATACAAAAGGGTAAGATAAGAGGTTGGACCTCGGGGCGGATCCTCACCGTATAAAAATTTGTAGAATACCTCCCGCCCGTATAGAAAGCACTGACAAGCTCTTCGATATTTCCTGTTTCCTTGCCACCTTGCCAGCAACACATTTTTGTTCGTTGAAATATTCCCCGGCGTTTCTTTTCTGTTTCTTTTTCTTTTTCTTTTTTGGAGAATCACTCTCCGTGATGTTTATACGGACAAACCCCGTTTATAAAACTCAATTAATCAATCAATAAGACAAACATTTTAAATGAAATCTTTTCAGTCTTCTTGGACATCTGAAGCTTGAAACTTTTCGTGCGGTCGCACAATAAAGGCGGCCTGCGCAACTTCAAAAAATCTTCCTTTTACGGAAAATTTTTCCAGTGGATCGGCTGACTGTTGCTATGGCCATAGCCAGAAAAATATTTATTATGGCTGCGGGCAAGTTAAGGTCCAGGAAAAATTATGACTCAGGCAATGAGGCTTAATTTTCCGGCCGAGGTATTTGTGGTATTTTTGATGACTGTAAACCACAAAAACGAAAAAAATGACTGAGGCCGCAAGTGCCTCGGTTTTCCTGTTATTAGCTAAGGTCCTGAATATTTTACGAAAAGTTTCTTTCCGCAATTTTGATCGATAATGTGGAAACAAACACAACTAGGGCCTCTTGCTGACACGCCACTAAGTCCAAGACATAACCAAGCCTTTTTGGTGGTTCCATTCAGTGCCGAGTGCTCGAAAAGTATTCACGGTAATTTTCAATTTATCAGTAAATGTAGCCCACTTTTTCTTTGACAAAATAACCTTTTTTGCAATTCAAATCGGTTCGCGCGCTTTTTTCATAATTTGCATTTGGCAAGTCGTAACTCTTTTCATGCAAAATTAATTTATTCAAGTTTATCGCACGTGAGAAACTTTCCTTCATCAAGCCACGTTTTGCAGCAGAAGTCGTCGGGGTTATGAAATGGGAAAGCGTTTTCTGTTGCATATAGAGAGGTGGAAAGTTTGACAGCATCTTGGATCCAACGGAGGAACAAAATACCTTTCGCTTTGTCCGAGAGATGTGACTGAACCGGAGACAAGCTTGAGGAACTGTGTGTACAAATGGCATTCAAACATTCAAGATAATCGCGAGGAACAACAAGCAATGTTGAATTTGATGTGGATAGTTCCAGCCTTCTTTGTGAGGTAATGAGTCTGCAATGTGATCCTTCAAATGCTTTCTTTTATATATTGTAGTTCATGTATGTAGTTCTTTGTTAGGTCACGAAGGTTGCTGAGCGTAGTAAAATTCGAACGTGTGAGAAGATGTCTCATAACATTATTGCAGACGAAAATTCGATAAACAGTTACGAACTTGAATGCGCCTTTATAATCATCCCTCGGCTTATGATACATGTTAATCCTACACGTATTTAAGCGAAGTGATAAACGTTTTCCCCTCAGTAAACTGTTAAAAACTGCGGAAATCTGAGAGACTGTGGAAGTTTTGGAAAGTTCTATTTGTACAGCCAAACACTCGTCGAGTGCCTAACCTTCATCACACTGAAAAGTGTACTTTTCCTTGAAACGTTAATGCGCTTTCCAATAGACAGGTCTGTCTGACTTAAAAGAAAAGTAAGATCACCAAAGACGATGTAGTGAATTGAATTGTCTTGATATGCCAACAAATTGTCATGGCTTATATTGGATGAAAGATACCACATTAAATAGAGAGTTTACAGGCAGAGGAATTCAAGTTAGCTCAAAT